CCTACTTAGATATGAGGCTCCTTGGTAGACGACATGTCGCATAAGTGGCATGTCAAGTTTTGTTTCCAGCAACCTCTCTTTCGTGAATGGACGACCAGGCAGTAATTATGATATGCTGCCACTAGACCTCATGGTCACGTAACCCTTATTAAGTCATGCTTAATGTACGATTGGCTTAGAGACATGGTTGATTTTTTCTTTTAAGATATAATTTTTTTAACGTATAAATTATACTACATAAAAGTAAAAAATACATATTTTTTTATATACATCTCATAAAAAAACCAATCACACCTTTATCTTAAACACCTTTTTAGTTTTTTTCCACACAGTCAAATTGTATTTTTTAAAATTCTTAATTTATTTTTAATTTTAAATTAGTTTTTTTAGTGTTTTAAATTGTTTTAATATAATGATATTAAGAATAAATTTAAAAAAATAAAAATATTTTTAATTTTTTTTAAAAGTAAAAATACTTTAAAAAATATTTTCTACCATGTTTCCGAATAAGTTAAAGTAAAAAACTAAATGATGCTCCAATGTACCAACTTACAGCCTAATTTCTTTGAGCCTTAATCTTCTGTTCCTCCAATTCTTTTGTCAATTTAATTCATGTGATCACTTTTGTTTACATACTATATAATATACTAATTCATGCTTCATGTTAAATTAAAAATATTAAAAGCATACAGATATTTGAAGTGTGTTGAATTAAATAATTATAATAGATTTTAATATTTTGGATTTAGCAGTTATACCGATCTAACTGACTTGGATTTTACACCTAAATAATTTGGATATTGCTTGTTTGTCTGACTCAAGTAAATATGTATTCAACGCCACCTTCTGAATTTAAAAATAATAAAATAATATTAAAATACTAAAATATCTCCCATCATTATAAAAAATTACATAAAAAACAATTTAAAAGAACAAAAAATACTCTCATATACAAAATTTATTTTTTATCTTTTCCAATATCAAATATGTATTTTAACTATTTAACAGTTTGTTAAATATCAAACCCTTTAGTTTTGTTAAACTTGGGGGATAGAATAATTTTTTTACTATGCAAATAATCATAAAAAACTACCATACCTTGCTGAAAAATTTAATGACCAATAAACCTATAAAAAACACTAAAATACCCCTACAACTAGGAGTTTAATTTTTTCAACCGCAAAATAATAATTTAACTTTATGTGAAAAATAACACTAGCACTATCTCAAACTCTTAGAGCTTAGAAAATTCATTATGCAAGTCTCCAATAGATTGTGTCTCGGTCCATAGTACACTTGTACAGGGTTACCAGATCCAAACCTTGTGAGTCTAACAACCATTTCAGACCTAAACATCTCAGGTGTGACAACCATATTAGACCCGCGTCTAGATATGACACCAAACATGATTACAGATCCAAGTAGCTTGGTCCTGAAATTGTTACTAGATCTAAGGTGCTTGTATGTGATAACTATGCCGGACTTAGGCAAGCAACAAATAAAAATAGGGTAATTATGTATTTTAGTTTTTAAAAAAGAGAAAAGAAAGAAAAAACACAAATAATTGATTACCGACAGTAGTCTAACCATGATATGTCAACACATATTGCATCATGTGGAAGAGGTCACGACAATACATCTATTTAGATGATGGATAACTAGATTTGGCTATAGAGAAATGTCTTAGGTACCTCCTTAATAGTGCGGGCGCTGCTCACTCGATGGGAAATGTGAAACACTCACAAACAATTTTTCAATTAAAAAATAAAAACTACAATATGAAAAATACTAAAACGCCTCTCTTAATCTTTTAAATTATACAAAATATCCATGTAAAAATACTAAAATACCCTCAAATGTAAAGTTTTTTTTTTTTGTCTTTTCTAAGACTAAAAGCATTATTTAAGTGTACTTGAAAATTAAAAAAATCCTAAATACCCTTGTGGAAGAAAACCAAAAGAATTTTACTACTTGTGAAAATATAAGAAATTAAGTGAGTGAAACTACTATTATGATTCATGGTAAAAAAATCTATTGATGTACATATTTCTACATCATTTAGTTTTTGTTACAATCTCCAAAATAACATTTCCGGTAATGTTTTTATCTGATTGTTTTTAGCTGCCACATGGTATATTTCTCTGAATTTTCTTTCACTGCGGATTGTTACGCATGGTTGAAATGAGATCTGTATAATTTTGATAGGAATGTGAGCGTGGTATCCTCCTTTGGACAGCACATTCAAGGCCAATACAGAGAAGCAGAAAGTATGAGAGTCGAGATGGAGGACTTGCTGTCACGGCAGTTTTGCAGCATTTAAATGATTGTTTATATATATACTCAGTGAATGCACTTACTGGAACACAAGTGTTTCTTTCCTTTTGCCTGTGTGCAAGACCTCATCAATTCTAGCTGATCATAAATATATCGAGTTCATCCATGTTGTAGGCCATAATTTGAAAAGAAAATGGCCTGCGCATCTTTAAGCATTTCCTTGTTGATGATGTGAAGTTGCGAGTTAGGAGTTGGGTGCTCTAGGATAGATAGATAGATAGATTCATTGTATTCCAACTCTTATAATATATTGTAATTGCATTGACCTTCTTTTTTTAATATATCACAATATGTGGTTAGAAAATCATATGCTGGAGCAGATAAATGGTTTAAGTGGGATATAAGTTCCATCTCAAGCAAGAAGATACCTAAAATCGTAAGCCAACTAACGCTGCTGCAGGTTCATTCGAAAAAAAGTTTAAAAGGGCTGCATTTGCCGGAGAATTGGGTGCATGCAACCCACCTCTACTTGATATAAGCCACTGTTTAATGGTAGCATTCAGGAAACAAAGATTATGGTCTGGCTCCCAGTGCAGGCAAGCCACTGGATGGTTTGGTTTTGGTATGGATAAAAAAATGGAAATCTAATATCAGATTAGGAGCGGACTTTCCTTCTGGGTGATGTATTTAGCTAAAAAATTAAGCGCAACCAGCTCTGCTTTCGCCATATTGCAGCTCTGGCTTGAATGACTACATGGGCCGAAATGTGAATGAGAAAACAAGCAAAAGGCACAGGGGCAGTAAGGTTACATTGACCATAAAACCTAAAGAAGCTTTAGAATTGTCCAGCAGTGGAGTGTTTCCAGGGTTCAGACCGGTGGTGCCACCACTGGATGGCGGTGTTTGAAAGCTGGGGTTAGCGGCTGGTGTAGTGCTTGTAGTGGTACCAGTCCCTCCGGCAGTGCTGGAGATTCAAATGATTTATGCAGTTAGTCACTAAAATGAAAGACAGCATAGCGAACCAAGAGAATCCAACAAACTCACTGAGTTCTCTGACATGCATTGAGTTTGTTCACTTGAAAAAGATTAGCCTGAGTTGTCAGAATTGTATACTGTCTGTTATTTTCCCAATTATTTCTCCATTTGCACTATTTTTTCAAATAAATTTTACAAGTGTTTCTAATTTGAAAAAACTCTCCACGATTTACCTAACTAGTGTTAACTTAGCATCATTTCTCTTTCACAGAGTTCAGAAGCAATACAAGTTTTTAGCATAGCATCAGATGCAGATACCATTATGTAACAGAAGTTCTGGCTGCTTTTCAAACATGGTCCAGCCTCTAATGAAGATGCAGGAGTAAAAACTCTCGAACACTGTAGCTACTACTTAGCAGGTTACCATTGCCCTATAAAGGGCAACCTGGCCTGTATGTAGACAGAATCATGTATCATGGGGCAGACAAATTTTGCACAATTACAGCGAACAGTTGAATGAATCACTCTATTCCTAGGTGTTTGACTCACCCTCTTGTCTCCAGGGTTCTGTCCACTATATATAGTTGGACTACAGGGCTAATCTAACTGTTCGAAACAATGAAGGGTATTGTCCTGTCAAAATATTTGACAGAGCCAGGGATTGGTAACAGTGTCTATTCGCCCTTATTTTGCAAGAGGTGCATGAAGGAAATGAAATGCGCATAATAATGCGTACCATACTCAAAAAACTATTCATGAGTCTAATTTTTCTGATGTAGCTAAATAATAGAAAGAACCCTTGACGTGAAGATGAAGTTATGCTTAATTATCAGATTTAATCCATTTATTAACTATATTTGTAGGCACTCGGATTTTGTATTAGTACTCTTTGCTCCTTTATGTTTGATCACAAATCTGAAATCACCCATCCACCATGCATGCTTTAGGAAGCACTGATGCCTCATGTGAACCTAAACAACAAATTACTTAAAACCCTATTTTGAGCATCTTAAGAACCTAAAAAACTCATAAAATTCGAAAGAAATATTCTGCAAAAGAAGGGCCAACAAAAGATCGGTCATATGATTCATTTCAAGCATACCTTAGGGAAGATGGATACATACAAGATCCATAACCTACAGCACGAAAACCAAGAAAAGTCAAGCCACAATATATAAGAGTAATGCTAAGCTAGAGAGGAAAAAAAGAAGTAGGGGGGACTCAACTGGGATCGCTTTTGGAAGCACTAGCAGTGCCAGAGAAGTCACAAGAGCCAGGAGCCATGGCTTTCCTTTGAAAGTAACTATTGAATGCGTAAGAAGCATGAGCCTGGATTGTGTTAGGCAAGAAACACAGCCCACTAGACTGTATTGGAGTACAGTCAGCACCAGAAGCACATGCATAGTCAAGTGCAGCTTGCAAGGCTTGGTTACTTGCGTCACTCCTTGCCACACACCAGGTCCCTCCCTCTACCACCGCTGGCAAAAAGACTGCACTCCCAAGAACGTGAATTGCAAAGAAGACAAATAACAGTTTGTTAGGGAGTACTTTTGCCATGGAAGAGACTAGCTAGAGTGCGTTATAGGGTGGTGGGTTTAGAGAATATGTGGTGTGTTTAGTTTGTAGAGCAAGGGAGAGATTGAGAAAGAGGAGAGTGGGAGCTGGATTCTTTTAGTCTTTTTCTTTGCTTCTTTTTGGGCTTTTGCTTCTTTTTCTTTTTGCTGTCTGTCTATTTATATAAGAACATTTTGTTTTGAACGCTAGCTGTTGAAGGAATTTAATGTGGTGAGTAAATGAATACATGAATCATGAAATGCATCTAAAAAGTGGTATGAAAATCGAAGGTAGAGTGAGTCCATTTTACAGTTACTTGCCTTGGATTACAAGGCTGATGATCAGCATATGAGGGGAAAGATGGAAGGGTTTCAACGATGCATAAGATCTGTCTAGAAGATATTCCAGGTGCAAAATGAAGGTCTTTAAGGCTCTAGCAAATATTTAAGGGGCAAAAACAAAAACAATTCGTCGCCTGAGAGATTCGAACTCTCGCGGGGAAACCCCATGTACTTAGCAGGCACACGCCTTAACCACTCGGCCAAAGCGACTTCGCTGGGATCAACTTAAATAATATTATTAGTATCACAAATTAGATTACTTCGCTACATCGAGTGATACCTTTGTAGGCGAACGACCCTTTTTAACAGTTTAAAGACATTTCCTTAAAATCATGTCATCTCTGGCAAAAATGAATTACATAAAAATAATGTCCAGTAAGAGAGTCAAAAAAATAAGATGGATCGATTCGGAATTCAGAAAATCATTAGTGTCGTGCTTTTTTTTTTTTTTTTATCCTTTTTGTAGAGGAATTAATCACATTCTTTGTTGTTGTTTTTGTTTTCTAATAGCTACAAGTGGCTCTCTTTTTTATTCCACTCACAAAGCTGCCAGGTTTTGCCATTCGCCCTTGTCTCCCTCCAGGCACAATGAAAACAAGCTGTCTCTGAAGCTACCCTCAGTTCTGATCAATTCTTGCAGCCAGGTATTGCAATGTAATTGGTATTGCCTCTAAATCCATAACTAGGCGAGGACTGCCTTTTACTAGTCCAGCAATGAAGGGGAAGAAGAAGACACCATCACATGCTACAAAGATTTAACCAGTATTGCAAAAATCAAAACTATAGAAAATTGCTATGACGTGAAAGGGAGATAAGAGACTCGTAACATGATTCTTTTTTCCCCTCGAAAAGACATATCTCAGCTGATAATAGTACAGCAAACAATCAAAAGAATTACCAGGCCCAGTATCCCAGAAAACATTCAGATTCTAGTAACTAGAAGTCCCTGGACAATGGGACACGAAAGAAAATGGAGAAATAATATTTTCTCATGATGTAATTTTATGATGTACGTATTTGAGCTAATTGCATGTCAAAAATTTGGGTATCAGGATATGAGGTAATGGTTGTTGTACACTCACTTCTTCTCAAGTTGTGTTTCGCTCCCTCCCCTTGGGGGTTTGCTGTGTAGCTCCAATTGAGGAATCACATGGAAAACAAATCAATTTGATATTTTCTCATAAAATAATAAATAGGCATCACAACGAAGAACTTCTTCCAGAGAAACCTCTCGCACATGGGCGTCACTGGCGTAATACCACACAGAACCCCCATGTTCTTTGTCAACCTTGCCTTTGCCCCTCGCATCTCCCCTGACATATGCAATGTAATGACCTCCCCTCATTGTTCCTGAATGCTCCACCACCCCAAGCAGTCGATACACGTAACTCTGTGTGTCAACACACCTGTAAATGCTCAATGATGTGACAATTGTAGTTAATTACATGACAATTTTCATTGCAAAACAAAGTTCACGTGGGGAAAGTTTAATTCAGGAATCAAATCAAGCATAAGAAACTCATTCATTCTCACAAATCCTGCATTTGAAATGTAACTAGAATTCACAATGAAATTCACTTTAGCCATTGAAAACACGATCGCCAAAGCAAGTGCATATATTAGACCCCCAGGAGAAAAATAGCTCTATTTATAGCTTATCTTAACATCACAAATACTTAAAGAGATGAAAAAACAATGGGACTATAACATCAAATTATTTATAGTCAAATCAAAGATAGTTCTGAGTGATAGGCACCTGGGATCCATATAAGGTCTAAGATCAAGTACATCTCGGAAGTTAACATGGCCATTCAATTTACTTAAACGACCACGAGCATCTTGACTGAACCTCTTCAAATGAACCGTTAGAATAGGTGGTGCTTTATCAATAAGGACCCTCTTAGTTGCATCCCTCTTTACATTCAGTTTTTTTAAAGTTTTATCCCCATCTTCATTTACATCTGATTCACAATTGCCAGGGAAGTTGCAGTCACTCTGCTCATCTTTAGCAATGGTATATCCATTACTGCTTGTCTCATCAACACTACAAGAATCAACAGGTGGACCACTCAAAGTTTCTCGATTACATGATTCATAGCAACCAGAACTATGTGATACATTCATCTCATATTTCCTTAGTTCGCTTTGAGAAATAAATGGTTCCATCTCTGTCTGAACAATTTCAGCATGTATGAATTTCTTATTTGGGCAGCCATTACCTGAAACAAAGACTTCAGGTGTGGAGTTGCAAAGGTTACTAGGGATTGTATCTCCATCCTCAAAGCTTCCGACCTCCGTGGAGCATGAGATGTTCTTGTCTAAACTCACTGAATCACTTTGTATTTGAGTCTCATCTCCATTTATTGAAGCTTTTGGAGATATTTTAGATTGCTTGTTCTTTGCATCCAACCTTTGCTCTCGCAGGATATTTGAACAGTTCTCACATTCCCAAGCATTATCATTTGAGAGAAGTTCTGGCTTTATAAAAAGGGCCAAACAACTCTCTAAAGACACTGGAGAATCAGAATCATCAACTTCATCCGGATCAGACTCACTGCTAATTCCTGCAATAAAACTTGGTAAAGCAACCTCATTACCTAATGAGGGCCCTGCAACAGGGGCTGCAGAAACCTCAGGCTCATTGAACAAGTCACCAATGCCATCAAATTCCGTGTCATCTTGTCCGCAGCCCACAAAAGATGAGGCAGCCTCAGATTCTCCTTTCATAATCTCCCTGTCAGTAAAGCCCTCTTCTTTGTATGGAAGCAAAAGAACTTCCGAGCTTTGAACCTGTAATGGAACCTCCTCTTCCCAAGGATTGACAGAAGAAGATTCTGGTTTTTTATTTGGCTCCCCATCAATTGAAGAAGCCTGGCAAGTCTCTGTCAAGTCATCATTGGGAATATTAACTTTGTCTCCACATTGCTGACCTGCTGCAAGAACATTGTTTTCTTTAGCAAAATCACGTTCTGATGTGGTTTCAGCTCCAATATAATCCATCCAGAAGTCATCAAATGAACTTGCTATTTGCTCCATTGTAGTCGCAACAGCTTGCTTACTATCAGATTCAATAACAGCAGCCAAATTCTGTGAAACTACGCCACTTACATCAACCACAGTAGTTGGGGCAGTGGAACCTGGTGCTAGAGTGTTATCTGAAGAAGCTACTGTGTTTTCTGTGAGAGGCACAGCTGACTGTGTTTGGCATGGAGAATCACTCTGGACTGATGGTTTTGAAACACTTTGAGCTGGCATTGAATCTGTATTTCTGTTAATCTTAGGCTGAACCTTTCCCCCTCTCTTTGGAGGCAGCTTCGTTTTCTTTGCTTGAGAGACCGGTTGGACTTTTTTAGTTGGAGGTTTCTTAGTTGGAACTGGAAGTGAGAGATCTAGAAACGGCTCATGCACGGTTGAGGAGTGCCCGCATTCTACACAACAAACAGTGCTAGAAATCAGCCCCCCAAAAGCAGAATCCACAAAAGTAGGACCATGTTTTGGAGGAATGCCATCTTCCTCGAAAGCATCTCTTCGCTTTCTAACTGTCAACTCTTCAGTAGACAGCCCATCAAGTAAGCAGCGGAGCAATTCATGACTGTCTTGCTGCTGATACCCCCTAAATTGGGGAGCCTTGGAACAGACAGACCCAAAAAAGGATTTCGGATTGATTACATTCCTAAAACCAGTTTCAGCTTTTAGATCAGTGAATAGCTTCTTTAAAGAACTTGATATAGGCCCAAAAGATGCCTCTTCACTTGAGAAGTAGTCACGCAACTTGTTCATAGCTAGAATATTCTGCATGACTGAATTAAAGAAGCAAGTGTTCCCAAGATTAACCAAGCCTCTCACCACATGACCACTTCTTCCCTCTAAACCAATTGTCATGGTGCCTTCTGCATTAAGTTCACTAATAACACTACCTCTTCCAAACCACACATCCTCAACATCCGCTGATGACTCTTTAGACGATTGTGCCTTGATCATCTTTACAACCTCAAACACTGCATCTTTTTTCTCACCATTTTCCCCTGTTTTCTCAGCAGGCATTAGAGTATTGCACAGGAAGCACCATCGAAGTTGAGGGTTTTCCCATTGGAAGACCAAAGGATGGCGGTTCTGCTTGGAATGACGAACTGCATGGCTCTGAGAAGTTGTTGGCAAACCAATTCCTCCACATGCTAAATGCCCACATTCTAAACAAACCCAAATGGCTTTCGACTCTGACTTTGAATCAACCGAACCACTTCCTTTCTTCTTAACTTGTTTACCCTTCCCCTTAGCCCCCTTCCTATCACCAACAGCTTCTCGACAATCCTCACACCTAAAAGAATCCGAAGAACTAATTTTCTCTGACAATTTGTTTGCATCAAAACCCTTGTCAAAGTGAGGACACAATTTTCTCTCTTTCACTACTGTAACCCCATCAACATCTTCAACATTGAGATTTGTTTGTTGAGGCACACTCTTGGGAGAATGGCCAGCAACCCGCTTCTCCTTCTGCAGTGGCCGAGTCTTTTTCTTATTAGCCCTTTTCCCCATTGGTCCCTAAAAGCAATCCATTCAAATAAAAACATTGAACACTACCAAAACAAACCAACAATTCAAAGAACACCATAACAGTCAACAACAGCCCAAATTGAGCCAGACAACACTATAAAACCAATCCACCATACCACAGACAACTTGAATAGCAATTTCAAACATCAAAGAACAGAAACAAAAAAGATAACTCTAAGAAAAAAAACTAATAAGCAAAAAACAGCCATCCATCTAAATTCACTATCCACTAATAAAAATCCTAATTTTGAAGAGAACCCAGATGAGGATTTGGAATAAACAGTGCAAAGCAAGAATCTTTTCGAGTAAAACATTACAGGTTAAACAAGAGCTAATAATACCAAGCAATCACATACAGCTTAAAAGCTAAAACCCAGAAAAGATAAGACAGATAGAGAAGTAGGGATTTACCTCAAAACCAGTAGAGGAAAATGAGGGACAGAGATTCAAATAATAAATTTTATTTGAGTAAATAATTGAGGGGTTACTGGGGAAAATTGAT